GGTGATCGGTATCGGTGATCGGTATCGCTGATCGGCCCTCATGGGTGATCGGTATCGGCAGGAAAAAACCTAATCGGCACATCTCTAATATAAACTAAATCCTGGTATCACTGTATATTTGAATTATTAACAAATCATCATCACTTATAACCCTAGAATTTTTCTTTCATCACTGCCGATTCAGGCAATTCCTGGCTTCTCAAATACATTAAACAAATTAACTCACAGACACTTGATGTGGTATTAAAGATCTGAAATTGTATTTGGCTTTTATTCCCCATTAAACAAGTGCATACATTTACAGCTTGGAGCATATTTTATTGACTTTTTATTTAGTTTTTTAGTCAAGTGCTCAAATTAGTAATTTTCGAGTACGAAGAGCCGCTCTCTGATAAAAACACAAACAGATGTGATAGTGAATGAAAAGTACATACCAATTCATTTTCAAGCATAAACACAAACTATGAAAAAATTAGGGCTTGGCGATATGGCTTGAGAATAAAATCCGATTTTAATCACTTTTGTTTATAAAAAAAAAGGAATTACAAATATTCTACACATAATTTGATGCTGATGTGTTTAAAAATTAAGTATTTCCTTACTTGTAAAACCAGTAGCAAATAACTTCATAAGATGGTCAAATTTCTTCATTTTAATTTTCTCTCAGTTTTTGTCTAAGAGTTTTGCTAATACTACATATTAATTCAGGAAACAGCGTTTTTTTCTTGTACTATTTCGACTTTATTCTCCTCTTACTACAACTGTACTCTTGTAATATTACAACTTTATTCTGGTAATTAAAAAAAATAAATTTTAGCCTTGCCCGAATATTTTGTAGTAGAGTTAAGCTGAATTTAAAGACCAAATAAAAAGAAGTTGTAAAACATGCTTGTCAAACAAGACGGCGGCCTCAGGCGTGCTGACATAATTCTTAAGTACGGAAACCCAAGGAGCAGATTGGTTAAAAAAAAAATAAAAATCCAGATTTTACAAAAATTAAAGCTGCAGTATGTAGCTTTTATAAAAAGTTTCTTTTTACACTGTTGAAACATTTGTTAAAATTGCCAAGATGTGGTGACAGTTTAGTATGAGACAGATAACCTATGAAAAAAAAAAGTGCTAGCTCGAAACAACCAATCAGAGCCAGGAGGCGTGTCTTAGTGCGGTCAATTAAATGATTGCTCTTTGCTCTGCCAGCAACTAGCAGATCCTGTTGTGAACACTAAGTTAGTTAGCAAACGATAAACGGTTTTCCTGTAATGGTAAGTTGTTTCTCCACTATTAGCACATTGAGTGGCATACATGAGAATGATTGACAGCGCTAAGACCCTGCTCCTGGCTCTGACTGGCTGTTATTGGTGCATTTCTTCAGACAGCAGTAGTAGCTCAAGGAGGAGGTGGAGTAAATCGATCTTTTCACAGATTATCTGCCTCATGTTAACAGTTTTGATACACATGTAAAAAATATATATTTTATAAAAGTTACATATTACAGCATAAAATCGATATATCACCCAACCCTATCCACCTTATTCCTGAGGGGCTTATCGGGGAAACGATTATGGGTGTTACTTCCGGCAGCTAGCGGAAGTAGCAGTATTTCATTGAAATTTCTAGTTTATTTTGCTAGTCTATATTCATGATAGAAGTTACAGCTCTCTTTTCGGTTATAATACAATATTTAGTAAAACTTGTTTAGGGACACACCGTCTGCCATCAGAGAGCTTCTCAGTACAGACGATCGTAATTGTGAGTTTAATTACGGGGAGCGACAGGAACACGATCGTTACGTTTTGTAACGGAATGACCGCGAGTTAGTGCTGCTAGCAGTTCGTTTCTCTGAAGAACTGACAGTAACAAAGAGAAAATCAGAGAAGCTGGTCAGAGATCTGAGCTGCAGGTTTGTGCCAACAGTATAAAACACCAGAACTACACAGTATTAGCTTGGTGTGATGTGAATTTTTTCGTTTGAATTTAAACAATAATAAAGTTCATGATCTGAGTATTTATCATGATTGGGCCAGGAAAATTTATTTATAAGACAAAATCAAAAATCTGGGATTATTTAGTCCATCACAACCAGAACCTTGAGGTTCTCTCTTGCTGAGTGTCGCTGCAAATCAGTGGAGAAATGACTGCAGCTGCTGCTCTCCAGACCGTAATACGGAGAATCTCCCCACTGGACTAGAACCGAACCGAATTACACATTAACTTGTTATAGAAAGCAACTTGACACTGGAAAGTGTCGTAAGATGCCCTTGTGGAAGTCGGGAAACTGTTGTGCTGTTCGTGGCTGTTCTCTAATAATCAGACAAAGTTTAGTTTGTGGCTGCAGCAGGTGTGTTTTGAACGTGCTCTCAAAACAAAAGCAGCAGTTTTCATTGCCTACCGACAGATACGCAAACAAAAATAATTTGGCTAAACTTGAAGAGAGAACCCAAAATGCTTTATGTGTGCTCATTTCATTGTGTGGACAAAAAGCCAAAGGAAGAAAACCTGCATCTGCATCCGAAGCAACTGAGTCAGTGAAGTAGCTACATATGCTAGTGCAACTTGAAGAAATTAGACCATTTCTTCAAGTTGTCATCCCTCCCTGCAGTAGATGTAGGTTGCAGTAAACCAATATTCTCACATTTAAGCTTTGATAGCTGGTGTTCCCACATATTTTATAGCCTAATAGCTCTCACAAAAGCCGGTTAGCGAGTTGCTAACATGTAAACAAATGGCGTTTCCGGTTAGCGGCGGAAGTCACGCCCATAATTCACGCAAAGCATAATGGGGCGTAGGAATAAGGTGGATAGAACAAACTAAAACAGGTTCCTCGCACTGGATGTTGACAAACGGGTCAACTTGTCGACTGACTGAGCTGGACGTCGGGTAAGTTCAAGGATCTCTCTCTTTTTTCACCCTTATATCTGCAGCCAAGATGGTGGTAATCTCGCCCTGCATGAAGGCCCAGGGCACGTTGGAGCCAACCAGTGGGCACCGCTCCCCGCTCGGACAGTACACCTCCCCAGTGGCACCCTGCTGCCTGATGCTGTCGCACGAACAGGGGAAGCAGAACTTATGGGCGGGAACAGATGGGCACTGGACGAAGTGCGTGTCCTCCAGCCGCTCGTGGCACAGAGTGCAGCACAGTGGCGCGCCGCCGGGCGCCGCAGAGGAGTCTGAGAGGCTCTGTAGCGGTGGGGGATCCATGCCGCTGGATCCAGGGGGAGCAGACCCCTCCCTTTGAGGTGGTCTCCTCTGGGAAGAGGAGGAAGGCGACGCGGGGCTGCTGCTATTCAGCCTGGCAGCCGCCGCGGCGTCTTTGAGCGAGCCGGCGCTTCCTGCGTTGTCGGTGGCATGGATGAGCGCCGCCATCGGTGACCGGACACTCTGTGAGGTGGCAGCTTCAGTAGGGTGGGGTGATGCAGCAGCTGAAAAGCTTGGCAGAGAAGATGACAGCCATGGCTGGCCCTCGCTGTTGTTCATCTTGGTGCCGCTGCCCTCACCCTCTGGCTCCGGGGAGGCTTTTCTCTTTGCAGGCCGACTTTGCTTCCCTCGGTCTGGAAAAGAAGATTCAAATGATTAAAGGTGATCTGTTATGCTTCTTTGGACAAGTCAGGATAGCTCTATACAATATACAAAACATATTGATCGTATATGTTTTTGCATAAAATCATTAGAATGAGATTTTAGTCTGCTCAGTTCTGCCTGGTTTGAGCTCCTTTCAGGATGAGCTGTTTTATGGCCTAATGTCACTTTAAATCCAAATAAGCTGCTGCTGGCCACGTCCCCAACTCAACTTTACACTCACAAGTGAAAAAGGCTGTGAATGGCAGAAGTTGAGTCTCCTGCACAACCAACAAGAACACAGCAAATGGTTTCTGGATGGTAAGTCAACATCCAGAACACTTGACTTTTCCAACATACAGCAGTAAAACCAGCTGACCAAACCTGCTGGAGCTCCGCTTGGGTTGCTAGGCGATGGGGTTTCTCTGGCTGGGGTTGCTAGGTAATAGCGTAGTGCACCAAATATGACTTACCAATCTGGAGGTTTTTGAAACGGCTCATTTCCCAGACACCAAAAAACATTAACTTATTGCCAAAGAATAGCTGGGCGTTTTTTCTAAGACTAAGAGCTTGGGCTGTTTTTAGAAGCAGTTGAGACCCAAAGGGAAGCATAAAAACCTGCATCATGACCTGTGAATCATAGGTCACCTTTAATAATCACTACATAGGTAACAGAGTTCATGCAGTTAAGCCAACTCAAATTTAAGACTTTGTAAGATTTTTTATGACCATTATAATTCAAATTTAAGACCCATATCAGAAATGCACAACAGAAATTGATATAATTAATTTTTCAGAGGACAAAAGGAGTTTTTTGTGACTCTTGGCAGCAGTTTTGTGCTTTTCACAGAGCTAGATAGCTGGCTAGTTAGCTAGCTGGGAAGTATTAGCAGGTTGTTCACAGAACGCAGTGAGTGAAGATGTCTGCACAGACTCAAACTTTTGATAGAAAACTCCCGAGACAAAAAGTCTACACAGATTGAATAGTCTTGCTATTTAAATTGCTTAAATTTTAAAAAGACAAGATTAAAAGGAATTTGCAAGTATACTATGTAAAAATGTTTGTTGTGTTAGCATAGTTGCAACATGAAGAAGCTATGACATATTTTGTTTAAGCTCACTTTGTTCACAAACACATGCCAGCAGGCAAAGGCTGAATTTTTTTTTTTAGAAATTATTCTTGATCAATCGATAGTTGAAATAATCGCCAGCTAATTAAGTTATCGATTAATCGTTAACAGACTCAAAACAAAGACGTTTGCTTTAAGAACATATTCGGTGCACTAATTAAGCTAAAACTGTACCAAAAAAAGGATTAAAATGCCTGTAAATACGTTTTATTCCAAACTCCTCGAGCATAAAACCAACTCCTACCTGTTTTTGAAGAAGTGGCGCCAGCCTCGTACGCCATGATCCGCTGCATGGCGGCGTGGTCCTTGGTAAACCGTCCGTCCTGCAGCGCCATCAGGTCCCTCACCGTTTTGCCTTTGCCTCCCCACTCCTTGTGGCTTTCTGACATGTCCGACATGCTGTCCGGCCTCTGTTTGTCCTTCAGCTCCTCGTGGCGCTTCCCGTGATCCACGGGACCCGAAACGACCAGACTCATCTGACCTGGGCGGCCGTTAAGCGGGTGAACAGCGGAAATGCCGCCGTTAACCAAAGGCACCAGACTAGGAGGAACTGAGCTAGTCCTGCGGGAGTTGGAGAGCTCAGGTGGATCGTCGGACTTTGGGTATCCGTTCGGGATGGGGAAGCCGTTCGTCTGCCTGCCCGCCGGGTACTCCACACCTAAACGGGGTGGCCTCTCAGACAGCGGGTATCGGTCTAGAGTTTGCGGCGGACGGGAGCCCGGGTCCGAGGCGTGGTGGGACTTCCCCGGGCCGGTAGAGCGGCCCTCCGGGAAGCCATGCACCCGTTTCAGTTGTCTTGTAGCCTCTATTACAAACTCGATTCGGTCGGCGCCCTCATAATTGACACATCCCCGGCAAACGGCCTCGGTAAAATCCCAGATGATTGCCCAAGGCATGCGGGGTAAATCGCACAAATAGCAGGACTGTCTTCTGGAGGCAGCAACCGCCGCGGAAGACATGTTGTAAAAGCCCCGGAGGCAACGCAGAACTATCCAAAATGTCCGTCTGTTTGCTTCTCGCCGCTGAGAGACACAACTAAGCAGCTGTGAGATTCCGAGACATTAACGAGCAGCAGTGAAATACTCTCTTCGGGGCCATTGTTAAGGTGTCTGCTGCGCCTCCAAAGCGCGGCTCCACGCTTACTACTCCGCTCCAGCTCCGAAGTAGAAACGTGACGTCAGCACGATCCTCCGCTAACACCTTCTTTTCTTCTTCTGTTTACTGGTTTCTTCGACGACACCTCAGGCGCATGCTCAGTGTTGTTATCAATTGGTGCGCCTCATTTTATTCTTAGATGAGCAAATCGAGAAAGGAGGAAACTTTTTCCATCTGTCCAGCCACTTTGGCATGCCACGGAAGCCCCCTTTCAGATCCATCAGTGGGAGCTGCGAACCCATTCACTTTGACCATGACACCGATGAGTTGTTTTGATGTAGAAAGTAAGGGATAACGTCAAAGAATCGACATAATATGATGCATTCCATTGTTGTGAGTGTAAACACTCATAGTTTATATTTCAGTGTTGCACATTTTGTTGATGGAAATTAGTGAGCTGATAAAATCAGATGATTTTGACAAATAATCTCGGGTCTCGTCGTCCATTTCGGAGGAAAGCTCATCTCACTCCGCCTTTTTAGTATTCACTCCCGATTGATCCACCGGTGAACTGTTAAGGAATACACCCATTGTTAAGGAGAACGGTCAGGATCCCCTCCCCCACGCGAAATGGCAACGTACAGAGGGTTTAATTTAAATAAATAAATATTGCATAGCCCTTTAAAATAACCACTAGGTTAACTATTTAGTCTTCAATGTCTTGTATAAAACTTTAATACATATTGATTGTTGAAGTTTGTGTTCCCTCCATTTTATTTATTATAAAATAGAATAGAATATACTATATTGATCCTCAAGGGGAAATTGATTAGATATCAAATTAATTAACAAGTTAGATATTAAATATATTTTACTGTACAATGTGGGATATGTCCCAACTAAACAAGAATAATTCTTTTTCTCAACAACAATGAAGGCATGGTCCATGAATATTTAAATTGGGACAAAAAAAATAGTTTTAATTCTAATTTTGTTCAAATTTATGACTCCAATTTGGACTCTGCTGAAGTTACATATATTTAAATGTATTTTTCTTAATGTTTTTACTATGCTGTACTTTTTTAATTTTCCTTGAGTAAAACATGTTGAAGTTTTGCTATTTTACCCACTTCTGCATGGTGGTGATGTCACAGATGGCAAAGAAAGGAGATAAGAGGAAAAGAAGACTCTTTGTTTCCTCTTACCTTACTTTACTTTAACCTCCCTTCCTTGTCCCAGTTCTCATTGCAGGCCTGCAGGAAAATGTCGGCCAGCTGCCAAGAGGGAGTGGCTGTGGAGTTGCACACAACTTTATTGTGCCAGAAAAATCCACTCAGGCTAGACAGAGGGACTTTTTACAAGTTCACTTTTTGTTTACACACTCTCTAAGATCCTCTCCCAAGTTGAGCTTCATAACTCAACTTCTCTGGCTTATTGCTTGTCAAGAACTCTACTGTCATGGCGGCAGAGAGAGGAAAAGAGAGGAAGGTGTAGATTGCCAAGTATGACTCACTCCAGTCGGCCAGATGTGCCACATCTGCAGCCATGATGACGAGTCTGCGAGTTCTGTGCAGCAGAAAAGTTCAAACACATTACAGAGATGTTTGAGATAGTCTGTGTGATGTTTTTCCAGGAGCAAAGATGCTTCTGAATAAAATAAATTTGAAAAAAAAAAAAAAGATCACTGAGCACCTATTCTTTCAGCTGAGTTTCCTTAAATGGAAAACTTTTTAAATAATTTGAATAATAAACTGAACTCGACTGCATTATTTGATAAGGATCAACAAGAAGGTTTTTTATTATTATTATTTAGCTATGGAAGCTAAATAAAAAGGCATTCACTAAGAAAGTCTCAGTGAGGTGGCTATTGTTAACTGCAAACCCTCAGACATGACCTGGTGGGCTGGTCTGTCAGTAAAACCTCCTTTACGGGAAAGCAGAAGAGGACAGCAATTGATTTTTAGACCGTTGCTGAGGTAGATAAGATCAGGGGATAAGATCGGCTATCAGCTGATTACTGATCTCACAAAATTAAGAAAATCTACACCAATAAATTGATTGACATCACAAATCTGGGACAAACTTCCAGAAAATTCCAAAAACAGAGGAGACACTGAGCTCCTTTAAATCGAGGCTAAAAACCCGCCAGATTAGATTTGCTTTTAAATCATAACAAATTAAACATTGACCAGCATTTTTACAGCACATGATAAAATGTCATGTCTACTACTGATTTTACAATTGATTTTATAACATGATTGTTCATGTTATTTTTATGGGGGTTTTTTTTTACAGTGTAGTAGTCATACAGAAAATTACTGATGTAAGAATAAAACAGCATTTGGTAAACAATCTACTAAAGTACTGAGGAACTGATCAAATGGACCAAAGTGTAAAAATATGTGGAAATTTGGGGTATTTTATGGACCAAAATGAAATAATTCATATAAATAACATAATTACAAATGATCAAAAACAGGCAAAAGAAAAAAAAAATCCAAATCAGTTTTTTCAATATAAAGCATATGTAGCTGACAACAACTACAGGTGAATTTTGGTTAAAACATGTTTGTTCTTTATTCAGCTAAGTTACTCACAGCGGGTAGAGAATCAATTTTACTCAAGTAAGAGATACTTCATAATAAAATCACTCAAGTAAAAGTAAAATATATGGTGCAGTAAAAATACTCTAAAAGGTAAATTTTTTTCAGAAGGTTATTCAAGTAAATGTAATTGAGTAAATGTATTACAGCCCACCTCTGCTGCTGCTGAAATGTGCTACACAAATCAACTTGACTTGACTTTAAATCAGTGAATACCAGGCAGAGTTCTGGTTTCAGGCGGATCCTCATCTACCTAAATGCTCACTCTGTTTTTCCTGTGTCGCTCCCTTTGTGCCTGTGCTTTTGAAGGAAGGAGCGAAAACCAACTCTGCTGTTCCCATTCGCATCCAAAATGGCTGTGATCTGACACCATGTGAAAGAGAGACTTGGCTTCTCTCAGAGGGATCCTGTTGCTGAGGTAGAAAATAAAATAACCTTCATTCAGTCTGAGCACCAGAAAGACGTATCATCGTCGTCAACACGGCAACAGAAGAGGTACAAGTTGAGAAAGTGGGATAATAACATTCATACTTGTGGTATATAAAAACTTTTTTTTTTCATGATCGATTATCAAATCTTTGTCTGTGGTAAAAGAACCCACTGACTTAAAAACAAACATGTTTTAACCAAAAATTCACCAGACACAGAAACACACCTGCAGTTTTTGTTAAAGTCTGTCAATAAAAAAAATCATAAATTAGTTTAACAAGTGGTGAAATTTATATAATCTCCTGGTTGTTTAAAAAATAATCACAATAAATCATGACCTGTAGCAAAATAGACCGGAATTCACTTAAGGAGATGAAAAACGAGCATTATGAAAGAAAGTAAACACACATTGGAGATTGCAAAAGCACTTTAATTTTGGAGTCAGCGGTGTTTGGACATAATGGCGGTTCTTAAATTTAGAGGAAAAAGACAAAAGATTACAGTTTTTTAAATGAACAAAAGCTCTAAGTATTCCACCAAATTAATTACAGAGTGGATCAATGACAAGAATAAATGTGGAAGGATACTTGAAACTAAAAATAAATAAATTTACCACTTGACAATGTTTGACAAATTTCTTGGGAAATAAATAGTTATTCATTTCTGCTTATCCATTTTTTACATGTTTCCACTCATGCTCGAAATGTCAAAAAACAAGAGAAAAATTCATAATCACCTTTATTCACCTTCACAAATAAACCGTATTATATGTTGTCAGAACTACTCCATTATTTGTTTGTAAGAAGATTATGTTTTTTTATTATTTTTTTGCTGGAATGAATGAAAAATGTCTTTTAAAGTTTTTATTTCTTGATTTTGTCACAATTGTATTAAGAGGGACTCATGAGGGAGTATTTGGGGTATCATCATAAAACAAATTTACAGTCTATCTTCATGCTCTTGTACTTAGACACATACAGTTGAAACCAGAAGTGTACATACAGTGACACTACATTAGTAGCTCTACATTGAAGTTATCCAGAGGAACAACTTTTAAATCTAAAACTTATTTAGATTGTACTGGAAACACAGCTTGTCAACATAAGAATAGTTTTGGTGATTCTAGCTGACCTTAAACAAGAGAAGTTTAGTCTGATTTAGTTTCAGACAGTAAGGAGAAAAGAAGTGTATCTTTTTATCTGTTATATTCAATCGTCTGATTGCAACTATACACGTATAAAAGAATAAATTATTACAGAGCAGTGAACCAGTTGTTTATTGCTATCATTTCTATGGGGTACCAAAATCATTTTTTAGACAACTGGTTCAACAATCCTCATGCAAAGACAGCCATGCTTTTATGCTGCATTCAGTTGATATATTTTTGTAATTTTGATGTTCTCAGCCTTGACAGAGGCTATGTGATTGAAACCACCGGGATATTTTCTGTTTATTTAGCTGAAATGGTCAATAGAAAATGCCCCAGAGTCACTGGACTTGAAGTGCGTATGTCTGAGTGACAGCTGGGAGTGATACAAGCCGTTGCTCTGGATGTCCAACGGATTGTCGGAAACCTAGAGTAAAAGACAGAAGGAAAAACTCAGCCTAACTCAAATTTATTTCTACATCACATTTAAAAACAACGCATGTTAATCAGGTCAAAATACAAATTACAAGCAGAAAACTTTTTTTCCCCAACGGCATTCAGCCTACATTAACTCATGATGTTAAGGTTTTATATAATAATAATAATAATAATAATAATAATAATAATAATAATAATAATAATAATAATAATAATAATAATTTTTTAGCACATTTGTTGAAACTGTCACTATGCTGTGATAGTTTAGTATGAGAGAAAAAAATCGATCTACTGATTGGTTGTTTCTAGAACTCACTTGAAACAACCAATCAGAGCCAGGAGGCGGGGCTTAGCTCTGTCAATCTTTCTCTCCGCTACGCCACACCTAGCATAGCCTGGTGTGAACGCTAAAGCTAGTTAGCATGACCACCGATAACGGTGGATTAACGGTTTTAAGTTGTTTCTCCGCCATAAGACCCTCCTCCTGGCTCTGATTGGTTGTTTTTTGTTCATAGTAGCTCAAATGGGAGGTGAAGGAGATCGATCTTTTCACAGATTATCCGTTTCATAGCTATTACATGGTAACAGTTAACAAATATGTAAAGAACATGTTTTTATAAAAGTTACATCCTGCTGCTTTAAGGAGTTTTACTTTACCTCTTCAAACTTCTTAGCTTTGTACTGCTCTGCACCCTTCAGGAAGTTTAGCAGTATTATATCGCAAAGCACTGTGCCCTAGAAAACAACAACAATACAAAAAGTAATAAGAATAAGATTAAGAATATCAATATATATAACAGAAGAAGAAACTGTAAGAAATAAGGATGCACTGATCCAATTTTTTCACTTTTGACATTGATACCGACATCTGAACAATACATTTAAATACACCAATAGCTTCACAAGCTTGGTCAAACGTGTAAAAACAACTTTAATTTGTTCAGTCAGTGAAGTATAACAGTCAATGTAAAAATAAATTATAAACTGAAACTTCCTACAACAATAGTAAAATGTACAAAAAAAAACAGCAACAATTTTTCTTTCAAATGGTTCAGAAAGAGCAAATAGGAATTCTAAATAATGTAAAATAAGCAATGAAGCATAGAATTAGACTAGCTAGATCTGTCTTTGTAATACTGGATTGACACATTTCTAGTAAAACCCAAATTAACCAAGATTTTTGAGGCAACAAAAAAAGTTTTTTTTTTTTTTTTAATTCTGGTAAACCTAGAAAATGATGTAAGATATAAAACTTGGATAATATTAGTTTAAATTATAAGAGTTTAGCTCACCACTCCCACTGATGTGAACGCTGCCACCATATTTATGATTGTTGGAATCATGTTAAACTTTCCAGCCTAAAAACAAAGATTTTTGTCAATATCCAGTTTTCCACTTACTTGTTTTGAACAGACATAAACTATGCAAATAGGAAATTTAAATCTCCAATGTAACTGAAAGGTTCCTGAGTTAATTTGAAATAAATTGCTTTTAAATATTAATATATACTCACATTTCCATTGACAATAACATCAAATCGAATGGCAAAAGCTTTGACCAGAGTGCGGTAGTCTGTCCCATTTTCCATCTTATAGTATTTTGCAAACCTGTACAAACAAATACAAACATACAAATATTTCAATGTATTTACCTATTATACTTAACCTAGATAATAACAAAAACATTACAATAATATGTGTCTAAAGCTGAATATTTTAGTTTTGCTTTGAGAAAAAAAATCTACAAATAGGCAAAAAAAATTTGTAAGTAATTTGGAGTTATAGGCTACAAAAAAATTAATATAATTTAATTCTGATAGTAACTTTTTGCATCAAATGAAAAACAATTAGGTCTAATTTAACTTACATTGTAGACTGAGTATTATGCATTATCTACACTGTACCAAGAAAATTCTGGGTTCAAAAATGTAATTTTTTTGCACCAACGTATGATTGGTCTAAAATATACAACTAAGTTTTCTGGTTGGTAATTATGAAAGAAACTTAAATCACCTGAAATTGTACCCAGGAGAAACGTTGTTCTGCTGTGACATGGCATCAAGTCGAGTGAACGAATACAATGGTTTACATTCATCGTCTGATTTATCCAGATCACACATCCAGCTGATCATTATTCCAATCACTCCACCCTAACAGAGGAGGAATATAAGGATAAACAGAAAACAATGAAAGTGCTTTAAAAATCATCCAGATATGTTTTGGTAAAAGGTTGATATTTTTTAGTGTCTGGAAAACGAGCCATTTACTGGGCTGAAACAGCTCAATTTGAAAGAACTCCGCAGACTAAGATCTCATTATCTAAGAATGATTTTAAGCAAAAAATACAAGGAACATGTTTTTATTGACCCATAAACCTAACCTAACATGTTCAAGGAAGCTTAATAGGTCATATATTAATGTCACAAGATGTGCAGTAAACATCACAAATTTAATTTAACCCCTATTAAAAAAATGCAATTGCTGTTTTTACCGTGTCTGCCAGCTGAGTGAAGTTTTGCTCTGCATTTTTAAGAATGTCCCCCACTTTGAAGATAGGGCAGTAGATGTCCTTTTCTTTGTTAAAGTTACACGTTTTGATGTATTCATTAGTTATTGATGGAAGGAAGTTCCCTCTGCAGAAAAACAGAATTTATGATAAATCATCACCACTACATTTGACTGATGTTATTTATATTCTGGGTGAAATAAATCCGAAAGAGACAACTTGAACTAGCCTGGGACTAACACTGATCAGTTATATTCAGTCATAACTAACATTAATTCATAAGTACTAGTGGTCTACCTTCTCCAGTTATAATTTGATCACCTAGAATGTGAGTTAATATCAGAATCAGACAGAAAGTAGTATAAAAGGTGTTACTTGGTGTAGTTAAAAGTTGGGAAACGGATGCTGTTCTTTATGAAGATTGTGAAGTTCTCCACATCATTCATGGGTTCTCTGAGAAAAGAAAACAAACACATTATAACTTTTCTAAAGCCTCAGAAGTGGAGTTTCAGAAAAAAAAATATTAACAAACAGATTGTCACAACATCAAAATGTCTGATGTAAAGCTTGCAAATAAATGAAGTGTATAAATGATATTGAAATATATAAAAGAAAACATTTCTTCTAATTCTGCACTTATGATAGAACTCTTTATACATTGTAACTTCACTATTTGGTTATTTACAAAGGTTTTCCATCAGTTCCAGGGGTTAAATTGAACAGGCTTGTTTTGAAAAAGTTTATATTTATTTTGATCAGCTTAAAATCTGAAATGCATCTGAAGTTGTTAAAACTGAGCATAATTTTTTCAGCCAAGGCAGAATCTAAAACTTTGATTCTGCTTGAGCAAACAAATAATGTTTGATCAAATTCGTTGTGCCAGGGAAGCCTTGACAGTAGCTGCGTTTCCATTAAAAATGGGTGCAAGTATTCTGCTGATTTAAAAAAAAACACAATTTTGCAATTATTTTTTTTCCATTAAATAAGCAATTGAGTTAAAACCGCATGTGAATAAGTAATTAAAAATCATGGCAGCTACAGAGGTCAACTGTTACGATGAGATATATTCATAATTTAGCACTAGAGCTCATCACTTGTTAGCCAATGAGACCAGTTTTACAGAAGAGCTATGTATTCAAAATGTTGGAATGACGCGAAATTTTTTATGAACTGCAATGCTGAGAGCTCTGATGGAGCCAGAAAAAAACAAAAACCACTTCCTGTCGTCTTCGTTTTTGTTGTTTTCTCCAGTAGTAACATCCAGTGATCATTTGACTGGTGTGATGCAAATACAGTGTTTCCGTTGCAGTTTTGTGAAATGCATCTGTTTCTATACAGCTGAAAAACCACCACATCCTGGCCCAGAAACTTTTTATTAAAAATGTGAGCTTTTTCAAATTTGCCATGTTTCCATACAGAAAATTTATTTTCATAATTTCAATTTGCATAAATTCATGGTTAATTCAAACACATTTAGGGTTACAGTAATCAATGCAACTAAAGATAAATGCATCGATGAGTTTTTTTAGATTTTGTTGGGACTTTAGTGTTTAAAAGGCAGAAATGTTTTTCAGGAAGACAGACTTTGTAACTGTCTTTATGTGTCTTTGAAGGTTCAGGTCAGAGTTCATCACTACACCCAGATTTCAGGCCTGACCTCTAATGTCCAGCTGTAACAGCTGAAGTTTTGTGTTGACTCTAAATCGTTCCTCTAAAATAACTTCTTTTGGTTGTGAGTAACTCACATTGCAATGTAGAGCTGCACATCATCTGCATAGTTGATGATACCTGGATGTTTTTCACCAGCAATAATAATGTACCAGAGTGGTTCCTCAAATTGAATACACACATCAATAAATCACTGTGTATATGTAAATATATGACATGCAAAGTGTCGTCTCACGTCTTTATGGTGTCGATCTCTGCAGGACACCATCCTTTAATCTCACACATTGAGATGTTGGTCTTGAAAGGGACGCAGTTTCCTGTGAAGATTCCTAAGCAGGAGTACAAAGAAATGTTAAAGGAACTCCAAAACAAATACTATCGTAATTGTATTTTAAATTTCATATCATAAAAAAATAATAATTTAACATGTTACCATATCCTCCTGGTCTGTGACGATATTTTGTGCAGTCACTGTCTTTGGTACAGTTGTATTTCTCAGTCTGAATAACATGGAAAGATTTAAAAACGCAATTATTTGTGTGTTTTTATGATATAACGTTTTGTTGCTTAAATGTGTTGTACAAATAAAGTTGATTGACTGATTGATTAATTGAATGATTAAATAATGTAGGATAAGTATTTTACACTATTAATAGATCAGATTAAATGATTATGTTCAGAAAGAACAGCTAACCCAGTACAACACACAGATTGACTCTATTTAATAACCAACTGGCAACTTCTGAAGGCAATTAGTTGCACTCAGAGAAAAGGCAGGCTGAATACTTTTGCACAACACACTTTTCCGGTTTTTACTTGCAAAAATATTTTTGAATCATGTATAATTTTCTTTCTTCTTCACAATTTCATACTCTCCCCATGACAATAGGGAGAGTAGCACTGTTTCTAGTGCTAACTAGAAACAGCCAATCAGAGACAGGAGGCGGGTCTTAGTGCTGTCAATCACCTGCATCTAGCAGAAACTTTCTCTAATGCTCAGTCTAGTTAGCATGGCCACCAATGACGGCGGATAAACTGTAAGTTGTTTATCCGCTCAATGCCATTAGGACATTGAGCAACACATTCATGAGGTTGATTGACAGCAATATGGCCCGCCTCCTGGCTCTGATTGGTTATTTTTGGTCCCGAGTGGCGCATTTCTTGGGATAGTAACTCAGAGAGGAAGTGAAGGAGATAGATCTTTTCACAGGTCTGTCTCGACATGGTGATAATTTCAACAAATATGTAAAAAACATATTTTTAAAAAATGTTACAAACTTCAACTTTAAGTATTTTCTTCAACTGATGATTTGCCAGATGTTTATAAGCTGTTTCCCTCTTTCCAAATGTCTAATTGTGTTGTCTTGTTTTAATAAATCTTATGTATAGCTTGTATTTTGGTCAGATAATGAATTCCCATGTTTGGACACTGGATCCTGTCATTAACATAAAAGTTAATTAAGAGGTGAATTTAATATCAGCTGACCTCAGGACAGTATCCTTGCACTTGGTTCTCTGTTGTAATCATTTTGGTGATGATGCAAAAGACAGAACCTCCCTGTAGAAAAACCACATGGATTTTGCAGCTCAACCTTTTAATGAATCTTGCTATTAATTACTGAAATGTACCGATAAATACCTGCGTAGGAGTGACGTAGTCTGCAACGTCCATGACTCTGTTGTTGTAGTTTCCAAAGCCTTTGACCTTTGTCATGACTGACGACTCTATAGCTGTGTCTCTCACCTGGTAGGCCTTTTCCCAGATAAACACCCAACTGAAAACACAAGCAGGGAAAATGTGACAAATAAACATTTTGACATCAGATTTAATTGAAATAAATATCAGGCGAAGTGGCTTTTGGAGCCCATTAGCAGGTTGGAAACTGACCGCCCTTAAAATCTCCAGAGCTGGGTAAAAACTATAGTTACATTTCCTCAATTATATTTACTTGAGAAACTTTTTGAAGAAACGTACTTTAGGAGTATTTTTGCTGTACTTTTTACTTTTACTTGAGTAATGTTATTATGAAGGATTTCTATTCTTACTTGTGTAAAATTTCTGGATTTTCTACCCACTGAATGACAAACAAACATGTTTTAACCTGATTTATTTATTTATTTATTTTTGTTACTTACATTAATTATTAATAGTTTTGGCGTTAAAATACCAACATTTCCACTTAGCTTTATATTTAGGTTGGTCTGATGATGTCATTTTTAAATATTAAATGATTGATAATTTGATCAGCTACTCAGTAGACTTTTTACCAAATACTCTTTACTCTAACTGGAGTAATTTCTTAGATTGCTACTTTTTACTTTTACTTGAGTACAATTTTTGGGTAGTTTACTCTTGAAATCATACTGTTAGATGCAGGGACTCTCCTAGCCTTTTCAGTGCCCTGGGTAAACAACATTTAACACCCCCCTCCTACCTGCTTTTAGTTCAAGCACACTGAAAATGTGTTTTTTATTTCTTACGATGCAGCACGTGTTTATGTCGTGTTTAACTGAAGCATAAAGGCGGCGTGGCTCTTTTGACATTGTTAAAAGTTAAAGAAAACATATATAGTCATTATAACATTGGTAAATATCGGCTTTTGGTCCAAATTTTTGTATCCCTATTTCATAGACTGGAAGATTATTGCTAAGCATCATTGCTTTAGAGTGATCACTTTATTACTCTGCACTGGTGCACAAGAAAAAAAAAAAGAAATCTGTTATTTTACTCATTTATTTATTTACATTTTATTCAAAAATCATCTTATTTTGTTGGCACCAAGAATGTGACAATGAGATTATTTTTATTTAGGACAATAATAGAAAAAAGAGGAGTTGAAAAACACATTCTGTGGGTAAGGATTAAATTACTTGCTTGGAATCAGATCCAGCTAATGGGTGAATGAGGCTCTTCCTGTAAGACTAATCAGCCACGGCAGACTGATAATAGTTGTGTAGTTAACTAGTGGACCTATGATGACTTAAACAGATTAAATTCAGTCTATAAGGTCAACGTTTACTAATCAATGGATGAGTTTCTTTAAATCTTGCTGGGACATTTTTTCTTTAATCCCAGAAATATTCATTAGGTGATAAAAGACTGTCTTTGTAATTGTCTTTATATGTTTCTAAATGTCCAGGTCTGCATGTGTTTCAGTAAAAAGGTCTTTGTGCTTTGTGATTTTTTTTTTTTCAACATTAGTGGTATATCAAAACAGTTTTGAGCACAAATGTAATGGAAACGCAGCTACAGCAATGTAGAGCTGTGTATCATCTGCATCACTACGGTAATCAATCTTATTACTTATTATAGGACAATTTATTTGTCTCACATGGGAAAAAATAGTTTTCGAAGAGAGGATAAAACTCCACAACAACAAAAACAAAACATCCAGTCAAACAAAGTCAAATACATAAAACTAGCATAAATAATTAAATAAATATGAATCAACTATTCTGACACTGGTGCTTAATGTTAATGTGCGAAAGAAAACATAGATTTCAGATGAAGCTGTATCTGAGATAGTGGGAGCATATTAAATAAGAAGGACCCCAGGATTGAACCCTGGAGCATCCCAGATGTGTTTTCTGTCAGCTTCAATGTTAAATTATCCCACACACCTAAATATGTAAAACAAAATGCTACAGAGAAAGCTGAAATAGTTAGAGTCAATGCTGTTTGACACAGTGTTAGCTTTAATAGCAGCCAATCCAGTTGCCCCGTTTGTTTTCCTTAGCACTGATTGGCTGTAACCCCAAAAGTGGAACACTGTAGAAACTAGCTGTCGTGCCAAGATGGTTTCCACTATAGAGAATTAATACATATTCAGATATACTTGGTGTTTAAACTATTAAAATAGGCAGCTATATGTGTTTATAGAGAAGTTCTCAAGTATTCACAGATTTTAGCTGCTGGCATATGGATCATAAAGCCACAGAGTGACTGTAGCTCAGTGAATATAGTAGTTTCCTTGCAATCTGAACGTTGTGGATTTGATTATACATGATGACTTCCCATTAGACAAGGCAGTTTGACTAGAAAAGCACAACAGAAATTGTCTCCATTTAGCACTTAGTCTATTAATCATTAGTGAGAACTGGAGTATCTCCGCATTGATGCAGAACTGAGTCAGTTCATTCCTAAATGACCAATTAATTCAGTTCAGGAAATGTCTGTAAACCTGAACAGGTCTTATTTCTCTTAAAACATGGGAAAAATGTCTTGTTAGTGAAATAATCTGTCAATGGAACAAATATTTTTTTAATCAATATTAAGAAATTATTAACTTGAAAATGTATCTGTCTTAAAAGTTACTCTTAAGTTATTTTTGTCTTATTTCAAGTGTTTTAAGATATTTGCACTATAACTAAACCAAAAATACTTGGTAAGATTTGATGTATTTGCAGTGTGAACACCTGAAATTTGCTTTCTTTTTAAAACTTTTAACAACGTTGAAACACAATGAAGACAGCGTTCTGAAAAGCATATTCTATTTATTTTAATGTCAGTTTCTCTGAAGCCGTGTTAAAGTGAGCGGTTAGGCAAAGCACTTAAAACACTGCTAATGCATTTGTATTGACAGAAATTTTAGAGCGAGGAACTGACCCTGCTATAAGCTTTAAAATCTTAAGTGTAGCTACCCATCATTTAATAAAAAGATATTGAAGTATCTGTCTATGAGTAATTATGTTGAAGAGTCACTTTAAACCAGATAAGCTAAAATCTGCAGACATTTAAATGGCTTTATAGTGAAACATTAACATTTCAGTGAGTTAATTTTTACAATTATTTAAAATTAACTGTTTTTGCAACAAATCCTTTAATTATTCAGGCTTTGCAGTGATGAATGAAATGATTTACACTTACCCAATAAAGTAAGAAATGATGATAAGTTGAACAATCCGGTTGATGATGCCGATAGTCCAGCTTTTCACAACCACCGACTTTGTCGTTTCATAAGTGAAGAAGTTCTTCATACACGACCACATCTTGGCAGTGTGTGGATGGAAAACACAAAAATACAACAAAAACCTGTCAAAAATAACCTAAGTGATTTTTTACAGTGTACAGATTTGTATCGGACAGTCTCAAAGGTAATTCTAAGATTAAAGTGAACACAAAAAAGTCAAAAATAAAATAAAACGAAGCTCTTGTAAGAAAAAAAAGACTCGTAATTAAGCTGTTAATTGGTCTAAATCTCCTCTATCTCATTGACTTCTGTCTCTGTTCTCTTCCTGTTTCTGCAGACGTCAAACATCTCGATGACAAAGAGAATAAATGAGGATCCTTCTGATTCGGTGTTTGTCTTTTATGTGAGCCGTGATCCAGCCAGGCTTTCCTCCTTCTGGCAGTTAACTTGACAGTTCTCCTATAAGGCCAATAATAAGACGCCTCCTCTCTCTGCTGAGTGCGCTGTGGTCGCACACATTCAAATCTATCTGCAGCCTTCAGTCAAAATCATCCAGCAAAATTTTAATCAACATCCCCTCCTCTCATGAGGCTCAAATTTTAGATTCAA